TAAGTGACTGGAGTTCAGACGTGTGCTCTTCCGATATAAGCTACAGTTACAACAGAAGTTCTCTACTAAACTACTTGCTTAATAAAAATTACTAAATAGATCTATAGATTAACAGATATTCTTTAACAATTATATGAATATGTAGACCAAAGTATCCTCTTTGTTACCACAAATATGAAACAAAGCGTCTTTTATTTTTTTGAAATTCTTGCAAATGCTTACTATTATCCAAATTTCCCCACTGTTCAAATTATCCCGATGTACCCTAATATAAGATATACGTACTAATATGTTTATTTTGCATTCTGTTGTCTTATTCACAATTATAAGATTTCTAGATGAAATATTAACGATTCTTATCATTTTAAATATCTATGTGAGCAAGTTAGGATATCGCTTTGACGCTTTTTATTCGTATTTATATTTAAATACGACAATATTTGTTTTTGAAAATCATAGATTATTTTGACTACGTTTACATGCCTCATACAGACAATTTTAGTATCAGTCACTCTGTTTTTTTTTATTACACAGCTTATTTACGTAAAAGCGGTTTTAATTTATTTTTGTTAAATATTATACTTGTTCATATTATAACTTCTGAATTAATTTATATACATATACTATTATGTGATCAATGTAAAACAAATAAGAAATAAATATCAAAATAAAATTAAATATGTTGTGTATTTTTTAGAAAATTGCGAATCATAATTAAATTAATTGTTATACAAGAGTAATGCAATTACTTCCTTTATTATTTTATCATAAATATTAATTGTTTAATAACATAATAGTGCAAATGTTATATTTACTGTGCAAATAACAAAAATGTTTAAATATTATATTTGTTAATGTCAGTCCATCAAATCATTTATTTAATACTGATATAATTTTTGTTATTTTTAATTAACCAAAGAACTTTTGTCAATTTCTTAATTTTTTTTTTAAAATTTATTTTTTATGTAATATTATGACTTCTGTTTTAAAAAACGAGACGTTACAAATCCTTTGTCTTATTGAAAGTTAGTAATATAATAATCTATCAATACTTCTAATATTGACATATTTTCTCATCTATATAAATCTACATTTTTTTTATTAGTAAAGTAACAATAATTTAATTGTTGTTTTACAACAATTACCATATAGATATCAGCGTAAAATAGTATTTAAATAATATTTGATATTAATATTTTGAATTTTAAACAGATTTCTTCTACATAGTACAGAATACAGATTACTAGAGACATGTAAACGTAACCATTGATCTTAAAAATCGAAAGTTATGTATTTAAGCGTATAAGAACTTAATATAGAAAACATTCGTTAGAACGCTGAAAATATAATCTTTGTTTAATTATTTTCCCTTACTTTTAATCACGTTAGAGAATAATGTATTCTGATTATGATAACTATGCATAGTTCTAAAAATTAAAATTTATTTTATTTATGATCTATATAAATGCCATCAAAAAATGTTTGAGCTCGTCAACAATAATTTTTAATTATAGCTTCCTAATATTATTCGCATTGATTTTACATAAACTTTAACAACCGTTAAGCGTGTATTATTGTGTGATTCCT